CTTTCCCGGGCAGCCAGCCAGCCGGCCAGCTAGCCGGCCGGCATCATCCTGATGTTCTGTGCCCAGCAGGGAGGGGCTACTTTGTCTTCGGAAACGGCAGGGCCAGATCTCCACAGCTCGTGCTGCCTGCTGTAGCCTGCTCGCCACAGGCCCCGGAGCGTCTGGAGGGAGGAGGAATGGGCAGCCGCGGGCAGGCGTTATCAGAAGTCCACAGGGCTCTGTCAAGAACAAACCTTCCCAGACTAGCCTTATCTGTTTCTTTTTCTTTAATTGGGAAAGCTGTAGACATGCCTCTTGGCCTTTATCAAAGCATTTGATAAGATAACCTGTGACATGCTGGTTAGCTAGCGGATTAAGTGTGTGCTAGACGGCATGGCCTTAAGCAGAAAGCATTGCTGATCGTAAGAGTGCATATCACTGGTTCTTCATCAAACCTGAAAAAAAGGTATCAAGTGGGGTGCCCCAAAGTTCAGTTCTGGATCCTCTGCTCTTCAAGGTTTTCATTAATGACTTGGAGGAAAGGGTGGATGAAATGCTTTTTAGGTTTACTGAGGATGCAAAATCAGGTGCGATAGCTAGCATCCTAATTAAGAATAACACTCAAAATGATATTGACAGATTGGAGATATTAACCTAATGCCAGAGAGTAATATTTAATTGGGAAAATACACAATTGTTCACTCCAGAAACAATCAAATGCACGGTGAGGAATACAGTGGTAATGGTATTTGGAATAATAGTAAATTGAGTGTGATGCAGCTGAAAAGAAGGCAAATGGAATTTTAGGTGGCATCTATCATCATCATCATCATCATCATCATCATCATCCCACTCTCCTTTGCTTTAGGCAGCCCCACCTTATGTTCTTGTCCATTTCTGGATTCTTTAAGAAGAGTCAGAGAATGGGAACAGGCTTGCGGAAGAGCAGTGAGGATTATCAAGGGACTAGAAACTTAGTCCTGAAGAGAGATGGGACAAACTTTAGCCTTGGGAAGAGTTTGCCAGGGTCGGGGGGACCTGCCACCACACTTTGAAAAGATGTTATGTAGATGACCCAGCACTGTTCTCTTGTTCCAGAGTGCAAGAAAGGGAATAAATTCCTTTTAAGTTATAGGAAGGCAGTAAGAGTAGCTCGCTGACCGAGATGGTGGTCCTCTCTTTGCTGGATGTGTTCAGACAAGCCACCTGTCTGGGATGCTTTGATTTGGATTCACTGGCGGGCGGGGTGGGGGACGTTGGACTTGATGCCCTCAGGAACCTTTCTGGTGCTCAGATGCCCCCTGCCTGGTCTCTCTGCTTCTTTTCTAGGTCTTGGCCTTGGCATGCATCTCTCTGGCGGCCCTCTCCCTCAGGTGAGCAAGAGGGGCAGGCTTAGCACCCCTGTCGGACGCTGCTTGGTTCCCCTTCCCTGGCAGCCTCTGAGCCATCCAGGGGCCCTCTGAGCCATCTGGCCCGAGCCTGGGCTTGTCCGGCCTTCTGTGGAGGACGGACTGGGACTGTTTGGCCCGAGAGATTAGGAGCAGGGTGGAAATTCTCCACTCCCGCTGGCTCCCATTTGAAAACAGGTGGATGCCCGTGGCCTGCCAGAGTGGGCTTCGGGTCAGCCTGCCGTGGGAGGAAGACGAGGGCTTGGGAGGGCAACCTCAGTGCAGGCTGCAGTGAAAATGCTGGAAGGGCCGTGGGGGCCTGCAGCATGTCTGGGGGAGGACGGAAAAGGGGACAGGGTCTGCAGGGCCAGGTGTGGGAAAGAGGAAGGATACCAGGGCCCTGGAAGGCCCAGAACAGTCGTGGAGGCCTTCTCGTTTTTTGTGATCACTTGCGAACAGCCCCGCTTCCTCCGTTTGGGGCTGCTGCATGTGTACGCCTCCTCGGATGCAGGGCTGGAGGGAGGCCTCTGGTCCCCCACCCACAAGTGCGTTTCCTTCTCTCGGGTAGATGGGCACATCCGGCCAAGGGGCGTTGCTAAATGGGCAGGAAGGAGGAAAGCCCTGGGCTGTGGCTTCTCCCTACCCGCCACGGCCAATGCAGACCACACTTTGGGGGGGGAGGGAGGAGAGTGCCCGGGCCCCCAGCCCCGACGGGCTCTTCTCTAGCAGCCAGGCCCAGCTGACCCTGCTGGGTTTCTCTTTCAGCCTGCTGGGCAGCGGCTCCGTTCTGGCTGTGGCCATCCGCCGAAGGCAGTGCTGCAGGGACCAGGTCTGATGAGTGACTTCCAGCTGCCCGGCTGCGTTTGGCAACAGGCTTAACCTGCTTCATATTTACTTGTTTTATGCACAAGACACGGAATTATAGCATAAACAGACAGGCTGTGTACCGCACGTTAAGCCACAAAAACAGAACAAAACAAAGAAACCGGCCAAGTTTAACACAGATGAGATTAGCAGCTGGTAGATCTTTAACCGGGCTGGTGACGCGGGTCGTCTGGACAGCCTGCCGTGTTCTGACTGGCACCTGAACGTCTGCAGGGAATGCAGTCCTTGGCCAAGATTCAAATCCTTGCTGTGGTCTGGCTCCCCGGGAGGCCGGGTTGATGCACCGCTGCCCTGGCCCAGCAAGGAAGCTGCCTGTCCCTGAAGGCTAGCCCAACTGCGGTTACCAAGGGCATGGAGCCCAGCGAAGCCTCTTCCCTATCTAAGCATTTTATCCTGCTGCTTCAGTTAAAAAAACTCTGACGCTGTTTACAAATATTATAAATAACCTAAAATGGAGATCAGAGCACTGCAATGTAGCAAAAATAGTCTACCTGGAGTAGCTAGTTGCTAGGGAAGGCCATTGGCAAAAATGCCTGAAATGCATCTCTTGGGGCAGCCGTCCCAGAGGAGGGGTGCTTTGCAGAGACAGACAGCCTTTGACTCACTGCCAGGCGCAGAGCGCAGGATCCACCCAAGGGCTCAGGGACCCTTTGATAAACGGGTCCGTTCTTATTAACCAAGGGCTGATTCTGCATCAGATGACTGAGCCGCCACCAACCCTGGAACGCCCGGCAGCTGAGACATGAGCTGCTGAGCGGAATCGCACCCCTTGTTTCCTGTTAAAATTGGGGCCTGGCCCGTCTGGCTAGTTCCTGCTGCAAGGACGCAGAGGGCCCCTTGAAAGGCGTGGAAGGCATCGAGAAGGACGCCTCCACAGGGCAGGCTCATCTAACCTGGCTTGGGCGAGGAAAGGGGAGATTTGCCTGCGGATTCTTGCCTTGTCCAGATGGTGCTGCCCTCAGCTGAGCCCGTTCTGATGGTTTGGGGCACAATCCTGTCCCTGCTGCAGAGACTGGCAGTTAAAGCCCTGGTCTCACAGCAGACCCCGTGCCAGTACCTGGAGCGCTGCCTCCCCCGAGCTGTGCCCGGCTGTGGAAAAGGGTGGGAGCACTCAGAGAAGACCTCTGCTTGGGTGCAAGGGCTGAGAAGAGGCAATCTTTGGGCAGAACTCCATGCTGCCACGAGGGGGGGGGGGGCACAGAGGCTTTCGCAGCTGCACTTGTTGGTTCAGTTTTGTAGAGCGCATTAGGGAGGGCGGGTCTGCCTGTCGGTGGGCCGGATGGTGCTTCTGACCTGTTGCTTGTCCCCAGCTCCGGCCTCTTGTCCTCCTCTCGCTTGCGGACTTTCTGGGTGCTGCCATGCTGACCTCCACCATGGCCGTCCACCTCCTTCCCTCCCAGCTCTTTGGTGCAGCCTATGGGTTCTGCCTCTATGGGCTGCTGTTTGGCATGGTAACTCTGTGGCACTGAAGGGGGTGGCAGGGATGGGCTGGCCATGAGGGGGGCAATTCCCTGCTGGCCTACCTCAGTCCTGTGTTGGGCAAGGGTGGTTGGTGGGTCAGAACTGAGGTTTCTTGGAGAGCAGAGTTGTCAGGCCCAGCTCAAGAAGAACGGTGAAACAGTCCAGTCCAGTCCAGTCCAGTCCCTTTATTTGCCCACATCCTCTAGACAGAATCTCGCCAGACTCAATCTCTACTACAGCAGCTAGTGGATCTACCCTGGGAGGTTCTAGGGAGGGGCTTTCCTGAACCTCTTTCGCTTCCCACGCTCCCCCTGCGGATTGTGTTGCCTCTTGTCTCCTTTCCCCTCCTGGGATGCGCCCCCCTTCCTGATAGCCTTGATCTCCCACATCACCCTCCTCTTCGTAGATACCTTCCATCACAAGAGCAAGTCTCATCTTCAGCGGAAGATCTCCTTGCCCAAGGGCTGGAAGTGTGCACTGGGGGGCTGGAAAGGGCCTGCTTCCATCTCTGTGGCCCCACATAGCAGCCAGAATGGAAGGGGCTGAACTGGGGTGGGGGGACTGTCCTGAAGCCAAGGAAGGGTGGGAGACCCATCTTTTTTGCAGCCTTCGCATGGCCTCCCTTCTCTTCCCCAGATGTTCTACGCCATCTCTCTCCTGATGGTGCTTGTCTATGCCTGTGAAGTGAACCGGGCAGTCAGAGGCTGGAGAGTGACTCAGTACTCCAACTTGCAGGTATG